TTAAATATTGTGTGGTATATTAAATATTGTATAATATATTAAATATTGTGATATATTAAATATTGTGTGGTATATTAAATATTGTGTGATATTAAATATTGTGATATATTAAATATTGTGATATATTAAATATTGTGCAATATATTAAATATTGTGATATTAAATATTGTATAATATATTAAATATTGTGATATATTAAATATTGTGTTATGTTAAATATTGTGTTATGTTAAATATTGTGTAATATATTAAATATTGTGTAATATACTAAATATTGTGTGATATATTAAATATTGTGATATATTAAATATTGTGTAATATACTAAATATTGTGTAATATACTTCACAATATTTAATATATCACACAATATTTAATATATCACACAATATTTAATATATCACAATATTTAATATATCACACAATATTTCGATATATTAGATTTGTTTGTTTGTTTTAGAGCAAAGTCACATTGGGCTATCTGTTGTGTCCACTATGAGGATTTTAACATTGTAAGTCTGTAAACTTACCACTACCCCACGAGCAAACCATTAAATTTTGACGTTATTTGCTGGGTTAATTTTCAGTTCTGATACAAGTATAACAGTGAACTAGAATAAATTAAAATAGGTTTTACAGTCAGCATCAGGAACAAAGTCATGTTAAATAATAATGAAAATTAAATCATACTGCACGGGAGCTTCTAATTTAAAACAACACTTAAAATAACAGATTAAATAAACCTATAATGACTACGATAGATAAATAGTACGTTGACCATACAATGACACATAGACATAAGAAAAAAAAAGCCAACAACTTTTCTCATAGTTGATAATGCTGTACCTCGTTCCAAGGTTTCTCACACCGACATTCACAGATAATCTCCAGATCTATCACTAGAGCCTCATTCAAACCAACTGGATAGATCTGAATTGTTTGGTTCCACTCAGCTTTATTCTTTGGGCACTTTTTGATCTCAATACTCGCTTCAAAATTCACCTAACAAAAGAAAAAGACAAGAACTAGTGAGAAGGTCACTGACTAGTAGGTGGTGCTGTACCTCCAATACTCTATATACAACACACACACACACGCACATATACTATTATGCGTAGAATAAAGAAATCGTCCAAAAAAATCAACTTTAAATTCCTTACTAATGCAAAAATAATGTGTCAAAGAACTTATTTTCCAAAAACATTTCAACCATTCTAAAGATTTGAAGAATAAAATCAGTAATCAGATATATATATATATATTCCTACAGTGCAAATATTCAATTTGTTTTGGTTTGAAAAATATCTTTTTTTGACCTTACATAGTTTAATTTTATTAAGGCTTCACAACAGCATAAGTATACTTACACTATTACCAACTTTCAGACCTTCACATTCGTTGGTCTTTTTTCTATCCCCTCTAAATAGGAAGAGAAAAAAAAAGTAATGTATCACCTACAACTTTTTAATTTATAGTTGGTTAACAGATTGTAGTGTTTAAATATACTTCTGGATTAAAACATTAGTTAAGATTATCTTAGTGCCACAGTTAATATCTTTAACTATGTAAATACCTGTTAATTTTTCGCAAGTGTTTTAATATTCCTAAAATATAACATTGTTTTGCAAATTTCTAAAATGATTTAACAGAAAGTAACAGACCAGAACTTTACATGCTATTTTTTGTCAAGTTTATAGTAGTCCTTGATTACTTTATCAGTTTTTGATAATCCAAGAACAAACAATTGTACAACATCAATCACAGATAATAACGTTTATACAAGAGATAGCATTTTTTGATCTTCAACATATTTTTAACACATTTAGATTGCCGCTAATAACTGGATGAAAAAAACATTGCACATCTCGTGCTATTTTTAAACATCACTCTCAAGTTTTTATTATTAGGAGCACCACAAATAACGCTCAAGATAAAAAGTTATATTTTACCCAAAAAAAAAAAACACGACACAAAACAAGGTTACAAATAACAAACCAAAAGAGTTTCACGATGTAATCCCTTCAAAATTACGTATAAACTTACATTGATATTGGTCAGTAATTTTGGTATTATTCATTCGTGGACTGCTTCCTTAACCCTTTCTGGATTGGAGAGATATCAATGATATCCCCTAAATTGTTTCCTTTTCACAGTGCAAATACTTAATTAAGAAAACATGATATAAGCTTACAAAATAGTATCTGGTATCTGCTTTTGGAAAAATTCTTAATTTGATTTAATAATCATTTGTTTAGGTTGTGAAATTTCCAGAATTTTGTTATGAGACAGTTTGGAAAGAAAGAAGGTAATATTGCCTCCATCTTAGAGTTTTAATTATTTTTTTATCAAAGTTACACTTTATATATACACCTGGAAAAAGTTAAGCACCCCCGTGTTTTTTTCAAGTGATTCAGATTCGACGTTCTTGT